TGCGTAGCAGTAGCAAAAATAGGGTTGTAGTTTGTTGTAGAGTTAATGGACAAAAGGAGGGTATATTTTTTGGAAGGATCGGATATTTTCTTCTTGTTTTTTTTTTTCTGTCTGAAGTGAAATATATGTCTTTATAAGGCGGAAACGTGAGACGCATTTAGCACGGTTTGTTTGGATTTGGCCGACCTTATGGCTTCTGAGCAACCCCAAAGTTTTCCTTTCGCTTTTCCTTGGGGAACGCAGTAAAGATATAGGGAGTTTTCCAAGCAGAAATAGTTAAAATAACTTGCTAACCCTGTATGTACGCGAGATAAATTAAGAGTTTAATATTTTCCTTATCTATTCCATCTCTGTTAAAACTCGATTTGTTCTGCGTTGGATCGGATTGTTTGTTATAGGTCGAATTAACTGGAAAAAAAATCCGAGCTCGTTTAAACAACGTTTTTATAATCCTAATACGGCGACAAACTGTCAGACGGATAACTTAACGTCTTCATGCGGTGTCCATTATCGCATTAAAACATCGAAAGAGCGAGAACGTTCGACAATAAGTGGGGAATCGCCTTTTAGAAACGGACGAAAAAAATCATTTATAAATAACCGGTAGTGATTTTTCTGCTCCGTATGCGATCACAAAAGAGCGCCACATTTAAAACGTCAAGTTTGATTGGATTAGGCCGGAGCTACCTCTCACAGAAATCGTATAATCTCCTTAACGTATTTAGTTGTTGGTGACTTCAAAAGTCAATTTAAATACCGGTAGGTTAGTTCTAATTAAAATAGCTTTTTTTTTATTCGGTAGGTATAAGTCTGTTTCAAAAATTTGCATAAAGGGGAAATTCTTTTCGTTACATAACTGGTTCGTTTATTTGCGTATATTTGTTTACCCATCAAGCGTCTATAATTTTATGTTTAATTGTATATGCATGCGTATTAGATAATATTTTCACTATATTTCATGTGTTGATGAAACGAATTTGTAGCTCATTAATGATGTGAATTTATTTCAATATAATGCCTGCCTAAATATTACCAATTATACGAACAAAACAATTTAGCGACAATCATAATACAACGCCGGATGATTCCGCATTTCCGAATTGTTCTAGATGTGAAATAGCACTCACTTCCTTGTGAAAAAAATCTAATACCGACAATAAATTTTTCGAAATTAAATTAATTTGCGCTTGACACAAAGATAACCCGAAATTAGTTTTATACTACATTTAGATTAAGTTAATTAGATACAGGTAGTTTGATGGAAGCATTAACGAGCAGCAGAGGCCTCCGGCTCGTTAATAAAGCTCTGATTCTTCACATCACTCACAATACGGAATAATTACGAGCTGGATTAACACAATAGCCACAGTTTTATTGTTGGACGCGAACTCTTTAATTAAACTAATTTTTAGTTTATTCACACACACGCTCGTTGGATAAATTCGTTACCGTTTTTATATTTTAACGATACATTGTTTCTAATAGAATTAATTCGACCGACAGTTATTTAACTTTAAATTAGTCTAATGTTCAATTATTTCAAAAAGTGTGTTATTTTTTTTTTCGAGGTGTATCAATATCACAATATGTCGTTTTGTAAGAGTGCTTAAAAAAATTAATTTCGCTTTGTCCAATTACTTAGGTATATAGGCGCGTATATCCTTAATTATGATTTATGACAAATTCTCAACCTTTCGAATTTTTTATTCTTCCAATTTAACGATTTTACCATCAAATGAGTCGAATGCAATTATTTTAATCTCGACACAAATTAGTTAAAGTTATATTTAATGGTTGCTGTATTGTTGGTGTAATTTCTTTATATTCGCTGTTGATGAACAATTTTTTGATATGCATCTAACGATTGGTTCACATTGTGTAGCAAAAAATACGGAAGTGCTACAATTTACTTCAATTCCATCTTGACATGGTATTCGGTAATTAAGGCACGTTCTAAATTTATTTCCAACGTTTTTACGCGATTTAGTGGATTCATTATTACCATAAAATTCAAATTTATAAACTTGTAGATATATCCAATCAATAAGCTGTTTTCGCATAGACAAAGAATTATACACACAAATTTATTAAAACTATTAGTTAGCTTCAAATTTCTTCGGTAATGTTAAATTTTAATTGGCAACATTACCAATAATGAATGAAAATATACGAACTTTTAACCCGTCAATAAATCAATGAAAGCAACTCCTATATAAGATTTTTACATGTCAAAATAACCATGGAAAAAATAATAGGCATTCGAAGTACAATTTTATGAATTTCATTTTATTATGTAGACATCGAAGGGCGTCGAAAAATAATTTCATTACATTCGGGTGATAATGTTATTAATGTTCGGGAACCGTGCCGAAATACGTCCCGGTTGATTTGATTGAAATCGTGTTCAAATATTGATTCGTATAAAAGAGTTGGGAAAACGAACAAAGCAAACAAAAGTTACCGGCGCGCTGGTAAACAAACACAAATCAAACACCTCATAACTTATTCAATATTCGATTAAGGTTGTTCACGATGATTTGGATCAACACGAGCAAAAGACTACTATTAGAAGAGTAAATATTTAATGCTATTATAATGGTATGTCATATCACGCGAAAACGTAACCTTAAGGGCAAACAATATCCGATAAACTTTTCATTCGATATATTACTTGGAAGTTTTATTATTGGACGTGATTCGAAGAATGCGGTTTTCTATCAATATCTGTAGTTATAAATTTTTGTTTTTATCAAATTTTATAGCACTTTCACGCCAATCTGATGTGCGGGTACAACATTACAAGTTTAATTATTGTAATCATTTACACATTCTCACCATTTAAATAAATAGAAAAATTCATCACTACTAATAATAAAAAATACGTCATTACTTAATTGCTATAAATTGTTAAACAAGAAAATCGAAGCTCGATAATCTAAATGCAAAAATCAGCATATTAGCCAGTATTTGCGTGTTTGAACTTCATCTAAATCCTATTTTCGAAGCGCAACGCTAATGCAACGTAGGTAATTCGTTTCGCATATACCGTTAGACTAAACGTAATTTTCCGCAATTTCTTGAATGGATACATTTCTTCAGTAAGTACGCTCGATAAAGGCGCAAACATTTCAGAACGCATTCGAGGAATCATAAAGGAGAAAATTATCGGTAATATGCTGAATTGATGATGTTAAAATGGAATTAATGTTCTAAACGAACATAATGTTCATTCGATGGAGTAGGTTTATTTGCAGACGTTATAAAAAACATAAAATTATTCTTACAAGAGTGAGAGCCAATTTAATGGGTGTATGAGCAACAAAAATATTAAGTACCCAGTTATGTGTTCAAGTTATTTATCTACTATGTGATTCTAATAAATTATTAAGCTTTTTTTTTGAAGTTGGTCCTGCTAAAATATAGATAATTTTCTGGTATTCTTGTAGATATTCGGTCCTAAATTCATTCTTAATTTTATGTGGACACCAGTGATATCATATAGTCATCATGTAAATGCACCGATTTTGAATTTAAACAACAAACTTATTCACGAACCAATTTAACTATTAAAAAAATAATTGGAATGTATAAAACGTGGAAATGATCGCACACGGACCATAAAATCTTTATTGTATTATACAATTTATACGTTGAAAATGCAGAATCTGGACTTCCTTTGCTTTGTTGAACTCACGCAAGCGTTATATAAATAGAGGAAGCGTTCGGTTTGATGTTCAAATGATATTTTTTGTTAAATTCATTAAATTTTTAAAAATGAAAGCTAAATCTATTCGTTTATTTATATAATGGGAAATTTTTTATACGTTGCCGGTATTTATCGATCGTGATCGTTCTTGTTCGCTTATGCATTAAATAAAATGATTTAATGAGAATATTTTGAATAGAAAACAGGATGCTGTAATTTTTCATGCAATTATTTCGGAATTATTTAAATGGATAATTTTAAATACTTAGAAAAAAAAATAACCATCATGATGATATGTTATTGAAAAACAGGTGTTAAGAGGTATAAGCTATAACACATATACAGTTATTTTGTATTTTAATTATTACCTAATTTACTTGTATCTAATCGATATAATTAAATATCTAAAAATTAATTCTGGTGTAACTAATTTTTATACAACGTTAAACATATTTTTCAGCACTTTATACTAATTTCAATTAGGAATATACAGTTAACTACATTCATATGTATATTAGTTCACGAACTAAAAATTATATTGTTCAAACATCAATTCACTAGACCTATATTTGTAAAATAACGGAACAAATTCTAATATACACCATAATCCACAATATCTACATTATAATAAAATTCATAAAACGTTTGTTAAGTAAAAGTTACGGCTGATTGCGATGATTTACTGCCGCAATTTATTCAATTAACGTTATATTATTTTATGGGCGTTTGTTACGAAATTGTTCTAGTTAAATTAAAACGTTAAATTCAAATTAAGTACCGGCCAAGTAATGATTCGCTTAACAAAGTAGGTATAGCTACGATAAAACTTACTATGGGTAAACGAAGGTGAAATGTTAATTTTTTTATTTGTTTCATCATACATATGTAGATTCGTGTAGATAATGATTACCTACTTGTATTTCCATTTCAAATATAAATCTTATTTAACGAAAATATAAGTAGATGTTTTATCAGATAACTGTATACCTGACCTAAGATTAGGAGAAAAATTTGGAAATCAACTTGAAATGTGAATGATGAATGTTTGCTATGTGAATATTTAGTTTAAATGTAAACCTAATTCGGTAAAATTGAACAAAATTGAATTATTGATGGATTCGGTTTATTAAAGTGCTGAGGTCATGTGGAAATTTATTGATGAAAGAAATACAGTAGTTACTACCACAGGGATTCCCAAATTCTGGAATTGCCATATATAATGATTGAAAACTTTTATCTAGGCTGATAAAAGCGAAAATGATTAATCTGCCTTTGACAAAAAAATATAACTCACCATTTGAGCAGATACTAGAGGTATCCGGATGACCGGAACTATCCGTATCGCTATCGTGTATCGGATTCGAATGCAACGACAAATCCCTCGGGCCCGGACTCGGCGATCTTCCCCTAATTATAGCAGCCCCATCAGCAGGTCCACTTAAGATGTCCGTTATCATAAAACGAGATCTCGTAGCTGCTGTCTGAGGCATGACCTTTGGATCGTCCTGCACTGTCATGCCAGGCACTTTGTCTCCCACACCCAACACTTTGACAGCGAAAAAAAAATTTTCAAAAATTTTTTCGTGAATATATACTCGACGACACTCGGTTAATAGTGGTGTGCAAGAAAACGGAACCGTCGGCGGACGAACACTCTCACTTTGTCGTCGGCGATATCATCAATTGTACTAACAGGTGTTCCTTACGACTACTAACTGCACCGTAAGAGCTGTTACTGTAAAACTAACCTAAAGCGTTTGATCCTTGGAGCTAACGGACGACAAATCAGCCATGTTGTCTCCCCCACTAATCGGCTTCGCCCCTCCAACGAGGCCTTACCAATGGCATGGGCATATCTCCTAATTGGTCGACCAATGCCGGAGCTCCTGCTCGTTCCTTGTCCTGTTGTATTTATTTTATGGGCAGGACTTTGAAAGGGATTTTATTAGATTGAGTATTTAGGAAAACAGTTTTATGCTTTAAGGTCTTTCCATTGGTTACATAATGAAGCTGGAGGAGAAGAGAAATAAGCTGTGTTATTGTGCCGTTCTATTCTATTAGTTTTGTGTTATGCTGTTAGTGTTGTTTTCCTGTTGTAATAAATTTAATGCACACTACTTATTTCGCATTTGATTTCAGTAATGGCGCTCATAAATATGGAAATCAGTTGAAATTTATTGGTATTTAAACCTACCATTATTTTGATGCTTTCTTTATCATAACCGTCGACATTTCATAATTTTTATAGCTTTTTGGAAACACATAAAAATTAGTTTTTTTTTATGTTTTTAATTTTTTATCCACTTTATATGTGTTTACATTAAAAACTACTTAATTAAAGCTAACTTATAGTCAAGCTAAATTTAATTTGTAGGTATTCACAGATCTACCTACAGGCTGGATAAAGACTTTTTTTAATTGTCTTACAAACTGTCCCGGGTTGCCTTTTATAAATTAAAAGTTAGCTTTTATTGTCTAACAAATTTAAGACTCCTGCTTTTGGATATAGGATACCTAATTAGTTGGTATATTGGTAGGTACTTCACTATGGTTATACGCCTATGAAAAATTCACTAAATTAGAATTGCAAATGTCCGAAATCATAAAACCACCTATCGAGTAAAATTCCACAAACAAAACGAGGAGGAGCTTTAAAATAATTTCGCGCTCAATTGCTTTTCAAAAATTTCCAGTTCTACCAACCGGAACAAATCCCATTGCGTACAAACACATCGGCATGCACTTATATGCGTTGGGAACTCGAAGATACCATCTAACGAGCAGATAAGCTCGCAACTGTCTGTCCATATGGACAGTGTTCTAATTGTTTCGCATGTTTTTTAAAGCGCTTTCTGAACCGCTTACCAGGACAGGTCAAGCTCGACCTTATCTTCACTCTGGACTGGGCTATATCTAAACAACAGTTTTATATTTTAAGGTAGTAAAAGGGCGCGTTAATTAATCAACTTGTGTAGCTGTTGAATTTGAAAATCGGGTGCGTGGGAAAAGGGTGAGGCAATTATGAGATATCTACCATCTGAACCAAAGGGGTTGTTAATTACCTTGATCTAATATTACTATAGGTACATAGTTAAATGTGATGTTATTTTTATTTATAGTTTCATATAATTTATCAAACAATTATTTGGAGTCTAATAAGATTCTAGATTCAAGATCATAATGGTGATTATAGAGATTTATATTCTTTTTGAAAGTGCTCATATGAATCGATGTTAAATGAAAATGAAAACTTTTTTTATATCCACCCCATCAATATTATTAATATAACAATGTGGCGCCATCGTCAGTTTTTTCCGAGTTGTTAATTTTAAAATGTTTAGGGGCACTTACACCAATAATTGCAGGGAATAATAAATTTAAGCATTATAAATTGATTTTTATAGTGAGCGTAAATTTTTATTTTGATATACCATATACATGCAATGATTGGGAACAAAATAATTTTGTACTTTTAAACCATAGCCTATATAATTAATTCATGTAATTAAATAATTCAAAAAAATAAACATCACGTAATAATATTAATGAAGTTCCATTAAATTAGTGTTAAATATTTAATAACGAAAACTGGAATAAAAGCAAAACGTTGTGTAAATAAAACTCATTTTAATAAATATGCCATTTAAATTCGAGTACCATTAAGCCTTTAATATTGTTCATTACATCCGTTTACTATTATGACATAAGAGTCATCTGGGTTTCATAGTCGAGTTAATATCCAACAATCGCTATTTAGTCTTAATTAATCTTCCTCTATATTACGTAAGGAAACTCTTTTAAAAACACTTTTCCTCATTAGGTATGTAATTGCTGTACGAGGCACCATTGTGTTTATTATTAAATTAAAATTTCTCACTAATAACGTTATATGAAAGAATCGCTTCCTGGTATAGATAAGTCGGTTTATGGGATTTTACGGATATCATTCAAGCGAAAAAATATGATTACTCGGATATTAAATAAAACGGAATTAATTTTTTATGCAGCGGTCAATCCAAAAGTACTATAATGGAAAAAAATAATTGCTATATACAAATCACAGGTCGATATTAAAATTTAATTACAAAAAAAATTAACTAGACTATATACGCTCAATTCGTGCAAATACATTGAGATACCTAATGTTTAAACATTATTCACAAGCGCAGCGAAACGCAGAACATAGCAGGAAGATGTTTTGCTCATCGTAGTGTAAAATGTCTGTATTTAAGTCTGCCTTCGCTATCTATTGTTCTCGAAAATCCTGAGAACTACTCCTTCGCACTAAATTAACATTTAAATGCTGAAGTGTGTTTAGACACCGACGAAAGCTTATTTCGGACGAATAAGAAAATCGATTACACAGATAAAAGGAAATTCTTACAGAGCGGAAACCCGGATTTTATTAGAACAAAATATTTTTATAATTTTTGATTCTGGAGTATCTAATAGTTAAGGTTTGTGATTTCTTATAGACATAGATATTAATAAATCTTTGAGATAAATATTCTTTAGGATATATATCTAGATATAGTAGTAAGAAATTACTTTTATCAGTGTAGATATTTTCTGTATACCAACAACTTAGCCTCAACTATATCATTCATTTACTCCGTCGGTTCCTGTCCTCCTTTTAGCGGGTTATCCCGGCAACTAAACTTGATGCTAAGTTTCCGAAATTCCTTACTTTATGAATTACAACGGTCTTAATTAGTTGAGTAATTGCCCTAAGTTTTCGACTATATTATGGCGTAGTGCTCGAAAGCTGAGGCGGCAAATTATGTTGATTTGGAGCGTGTACATGGCGTGACTCGTTTTAATTTTCGTGTATTAATTTCATTATTTTTGTAGGCAGATATAACTAATTTCTTTTTAAGTATAATTGTAATTAATTGAGGTTAATGTAATTTATTTGCAAGTGCCTGTAAAAAAGAAGTTTATGAAGCGTTGTTATGGAAAACTTTTGATAATTTATGCTGTTTTCTTATTATTCTCGATTCTCGGACAGTTTGTTATCTACATTCGTTGATTTATTTGTTCATTTATTTTTGAATGTGTAATATGGTACTTAAATTTAATAACCGACGTGGCTTATAAACCTAAAATATGCTAAAATTCATGGTCGAATTTGTTTGTTATATAGGTTATTTAAAATAGGTATGGTATTTTACTTTCTAATAACTTACTACAAAAAATTAATATCTATAAATTATTAACTTGGTTATATAAGGGTGCGCTAAATATGAGTCATTTTATTTAAAAATATGCATAATATACAAAAACTTGCAAATATTTATGTTGTATTATACAACATAAATATACAACTTGTAGGTATACTAAAACAAAATTGTCTCTTCATATCGATTTACATATTTACCATAACCATTATAGGTTGAGGTATTCAATAATTTAAGTGATGTATCATATGATTTTTAATTTAATGCATTTTTGACCATATTAAAAATAATTATATTTTGATATGAAATCAAAGAAAGCAGAAACTAAAATCTTTGATGTCTTTATTGATTTGATGATAATCGACACTTTATACGTAAGCTTTTTTTTATTTTTTTGTTACCTATGTAAGTAGGTACTTGTTAAAAATACTGGCGATTATCGCAGAATAATATTAAATTTTATTAACGTAGAAGCTTCAATTTTTAAAAGCAACAATTATGTCGTTAGCGTTTTCGAATAGATAAGCTTTAACCGATGGATAAATTTTAATTTTATCTCGCTTTAAGTAAACATTAGTATTCAAAGTAATGAATTACATACTCACTTCAAAATTTTTAGATAGGCATGCCAATATAATTAGCCGGGGACCTTCTTCGCTCGAACGAGCCCACTAACACCAGGTCTGATAAACGCTATATAGGTACCATAATTAAAATTAAAAAATTAATTTTTAAGTTTTACGCTCGACGCGTAAATGAACCTGTTTTTCCCATATATTATTAGCATAACGATGAATTTTATTTTCGTCGCAATGTATTTAATTTTACGATTTGTTTGGGTAATAAAATCCATTGTAACCTACTTTGAAAAACAATTTAATATTATTAATGAGCTGATGTAAAATACCTGGAAAGGTGTTTTGTGAATGCATATGAGCTTTTAATTTTTTTTTGTACTTCAACTTGTTAAAGTTTAATTAGCAATTATGAATGTCGACTTTTCGAGCGATTTTTCTTAATCAAATTAACAAACACAATGACGAGCAGCCGCTCGCATTGGCATATATACTTTTCATGAATATTCTATTTGCATTGTCAGCGCCCCGCGCGCCGCTGTGCCATTGCCGCGGGGGTTTTAATTCGAACATTTTCGAGCCGGTAGTCGCTCATGCTTGACTCCCATAAAAGAGGGCTTAATTTCGACATAATTGTTACTGTGACACCATCTGTTTCCTTTCGTACTTTAGCGGTAATGGTAACAATCAGATTAGGCTCAGGTTGGTGGTGCATGCGTTGTTGTGTATTTTTTTTTGGTCATTCTTATTCCGCTTTCGTAAAAATTATTTGTGAGGGGTGTCCGATTAATATCGTGCCGAATTTGTCAATGTTTCATTAGTAATAACGGCACTAGAACGGTGTGTTTGATTATCGCTAATGCGTTTGTTTGGACTATAATGAAAAATGAATTATTTACACGCTGCGTGAATGGGCGAATATGAATGTATGTATGTTACAGAAATGTTGATTTTTTTGATAATATCGTAATTTATCAAATATTTCTCAAAATTTAATTACTA